ACAAAGGTTTAAACATAGCGCTGTCCAACTGAGTCTGTTGTTTGGGATTTGAATCCATGATCTCGCAGAAAGAAAGAGCATTTTACTTCATTAGCTTCTCAAACCATCTCATAAAAAGTCTACTTAATGCATGATATACCCCAAACCTAATGATAATTACGCATAGAATTGTTTTAACTGCCACCACCACATTTACAGCCCTGACGCAACAGAAGCTTCACGTGGAAGTCCAGTGTGGCGTACAGGACACCCATCTAGCACTGATGGAAGAACGCGCTCTCACCAACCCAGGTACCAGGGAAGGGGCAAAACGGCAGGTGGAGTCCTCCTGTGGAGGGTAGGCCTGCTGTCTGTGCTTCTAAGTGCCCCAGCCAGCTCCCCGCCACATCTGAGTACCGGAGAAAACAGAGGCCCACCAATAAATACTTGTTGAATTAAATTCTGTTCATCACTTATTTGTTAATGAACATTTACAAGTGCCGACTCAGTATACAGGACCAGCTGCGCAGAAATGAGCAAGGCACACTCCGCTGTCAGCAAGTTAGAACCAGTGGGGAGAGTGACACTAACGAGGAGCCCGATGCAGGGCAGCACCCAGGAGCCGCCCGACACAGGCGCGCCCAGGTCCAGGAAGACTGCACCGAGCCCGCGATTTCGCAGACCCGGCAAGGAGGAGGGCCAGTATGGTCTAGCTATACCGGAGTCAGGACAAATGCAAAATGCATCACCATCCAAACCTGAGGCATGTCCACGTTCAGAGAAAACACGAGCCACTCGTGACGTTTTATTCTAACTGGTGTAGAACTCTCAAGTATCTATTAAGAAATTTTTTAAAAATTTGCATATGGAGAGGAGGTGTGTTTCTTTCTGAAAGCCTTTGAAAAATCATAAAATGGTCAGAGCAAAAATCATACAGGAATCAGATGTGGCTGAGGGAAAGGGGCGGGCAGCTCAGGGTGTAGCTTCGTCCTCTCGAGACGCCTCCTGGGCCACAGACGGTTTTACAGATTTTATAAAGAATCTTCACGTAATCCACCGTTTTTGACCCTTTAGAGGCGGAAGGCAGAGGAAATCCATTTTCTGATGAGAAAATAGCAGTGGAGGGATGTGGACAAAACCCCCAGGCCTGGCAGGCAGCAGCTGAGGGACGAAAATCCAAACCTCAAGGTTAACCACCTAACGCCTTTTCCACCAGAACAAGCTGCTTTCCTGATGCAAACCAAAAATCTTCCAATACTTCTTGTCTATACGCTGATCTCAAAGCAAATGCAGCTCACACACAGGAACAGCTCGAACAGGGCTGACCCGGTGAGGAGTAAATTCTTCACTTTCGAGACCCCACCGTATCATAACTACACGATGCTAAGGAATTAAATCCTCTAGAAGCAAAGGACAAACGCACCTCCAGATAATGAGCAAATCAGACTACATTACGCCTGCGACCCACAGAAGAGGCTGGAAAATTCGCCCAAGTGTTCATTTCCCTAAGAAGCTCACTGCACGCCAGCAACAGAAACACCTGGAAGAAGAAACAAGTTCTTTTAAATAAGGTCCACTGGGACATCCAGGACTTCTCCTTTTTGGCTCTTACCTTAAAACTATCTTAACACCAAGTCGGAAATTAAAATTCTCTGCCTAATTTTCCCTAACCACATAGCCTTAGAAGTGGATTGGCTTGTTTTATGTAATTAATAAGGTAGAAATAGCAGATACAGCAAATGTTTTCCTACAAACAGAAACTATGCCTCTTTTTGAAATGTCTATGAAACATTTAAAAGACTGACTTTATGCCAAGCCACCGAAAACAGGCCCTCAAATTCCAAAAAAGCAGAAATTATACAGGCCACATCCTCTAACTGCAAGGCAACAAAATTACTACAATTGTTCAAAAACACCAGCCGCTTGGAACTTAAGATACTCAACCCACTTGCCATTGAGAATACATCCACTCACACACAGAGACCGCGAGAGGGGAAAAAAGAGCAGAGAATCTGGCATGTCTAAAATCTGTTTACATTAAGCAGAGAAACATTTCAATAAAATCTTTTTAAAGATTACTTAAAGAATATTTATCATGAAAACATGGATGCTCATAGACGGCATGCAAGGAAAAAAGCACTGCTCACCAATCGCCAAACAGCACGATGCTAGGCAAGAAGAGTTCCCTCTCTGCACTCCAGTTTCATCCTTTAAGAAGGTGAGGATAATCTTTACATTTCTCTTTCATATTCTGGCATAAAAATCAGCTTGACGAGCAGATCCAAAGTTGCCTTGCTCAGTAGTGAGCCAACAGCCCACAGCAGCTACTTAATAACTATTTATAGAAAGAATGAATAAATATACACATACACACACACATATAAAGGAACTGACTAATTAATGTATCTGAACGCAATGGAATATTATAGACATTTAAGATGATAAAGCACAAACATTTATTCACATGGAAAGACTTTTCATAACCTAATAGTCAATAAAGCAGGTTACAAAATAGTTTATATAGAAGAAACCTTTTTTTCTCTCCTCTCTCTGTCACACACACATACAATGTTTAAAAAACTGTTCACAATTTTGACAAACACGAGCTAGTAAAAAAACTGATTTTATGGTTACAGAATGACCTATACGTCTAAGATGTGAGAAAAGAGAGAGAAAACTTTTTTTCTACTGTCAATTTGCCTTTCCTTCAAAGTCGTACAGAATTTTGTCAGGCTCACTGTCCAGCCCCTCACGGACAGTGACCTCTCGAATCTGCAGCGTGGCTGTCGCAGTCCTAGCTGATGGCAGTTCTAGACCTGACCTGCTATCTCAGCAAGCCGTCTGCTTGACACTGAGATTAGAATTAAGACAGCTAAGAGGCCAGGACGCTGCTCTTCCCTTGTCAGCCTGAGCAACTTCAGGGTCCACCAAGTAATAACAGTTCTCTGTTACACGACCTAGTTTTAAATTACATGGAACCAGCCTGCCATGAAGAAATGAAGTTCCTAGCGAAACAGACACAATAAAGTTTTCAGAACTTAAAGGGGAATCTATCCACGTTTATCTTATTTTCAAAGCACTGAAAATATATCTCAGGTACATCACAAAAGGATAATTAACCCCCAAAATGCTGCGTAGGGCAGCGGAAAGCATTTCATTCTGGAAACAAGTAAATCAAACCCTCTATTTCACCTGCGATGCCAACGTCTGGGTTCTGCGCTTGTGCCACAAACTGTTACTTCCCAGGGGAGGGAGGGCCTTTCACGGCAGCCTTGGCACGGAGAAGGTAAAGGAGGAAACGACTGCGATACGTCCTCTGGATTCTCCCCAGCTCTCCACCACCTTGGAAGAGGAAAGTCACCGTGACCCGGCTTCTTCCACGGCAACGGCATGGCAGGAGGGTTGTTCCCAGGAAAGCCCTGGGCCCCGCCTCCCTTCCCCACTGCCCGCGCACCCCTTGCCAAGCAGGCCCGGGAGAGGAGGGTGGCTGGGTGGAGGTGGGCGTGCAGCCCCGAAGGTCCCTGAGCGCCCCTCGAAACCCAAGACAGTATACCACCACGGACTTTCTTAGAAAGAACCTTGACATGTGAGGCACGCCGTCCTTCTTTAAATGAAAAAGGCGAGGACAGCACAGGCGCGCTGCTGTCCGCTGTTAGTCTGGGGTGGGCGTGGGGGCAGAACAGACCCTCGGGACGTCCGCCGGCAGCCCCTGCGCCCCGGGGCCGCCTGACTGCGCGCGGCGCGAAGCGGGGCCGTCCAGCCAAAGCGCCCCGCGGCCGGCGCACTGCCCCGCGTGAGTTTCTCCCGTCGGACCGCGGCCGCCGGGCGCACGGCCCTGGGCTCGGTCTGTCTGGGCCTGGGGCTACCTAGCCTCGGGGATCCCCAAGGGTCTTGGGAAACGTACCCCCAGTCGGTGACGCCCAAACTCGACCGCGCCGAGGGAAGGGAGCGCCCGAGGCCCCCGCCCGGTGGGCCATCCCTCCCAGGGGACAACCTAAGGATCCAGAGGCTCTGAGGGCCCCGGCCTCGCCAGCCGCGCAGCGCAGCCCCGCCGACAGCCGCGGACGCCGGGGCTCCGGGCAGGCCCCCGGCACTCGGGGCGAGGCCGAGCACGGGTTGGCCCCCTGGGCCCGGGGATCCCGGACACAAGTCCGCGGCGGGCGCCGGAGCCCCGAGCCCCGCGCATGCGCCGCCTGGCCCCGGCCCCTCCCCCGCCCGCCGCCACCCTGGGTCCCCGGGTAGCGGAGGCCCGGCCCGCGGACCCCCGCGCGCCCGCCCGCCCGCCCGTCCCTGGGCACCTGGGGCCGCGGTCCGCCGCCTGCCGGTCCGCCGGGCGAGCGCGCCGAGGGAGGCGGCGCCGGGCAGGGCGCTAGCGGCCGCCTCCGCCCCCGCCGCCCACTGCCCCCGCCGCGGGGCCGCCGCGTCCCCTGCCCATGCCCGGCACCGCCTCCCCGCGCCCGTGCCAGCCGCGCCCCCGCGGCAAGCGCCGCCCCCTGGGCCCCAGCCCGACCCCGGCAGCGCGGGCGGCGAGCGCGGGTGGCCGACCCGGAAGCCCCGCCCCCGGGCCTCCCGTCCCGCCCTCGGGTCCCCGGCCGCTGCCCGGGCGGGACACACCTCCCGGACGGCGGCTCCCGATTGGCTTCTCGCGGGGGCGGGGGGGACCACAGAGACCACGGGGCCGCGCTGGGTGGTTCTCACCTCGTGCCCTGCAGCAGCTGCACCAGTGGGGAAACTGAGGCTGGGGAGGCGGAGGGACTGCCAAGGTCACCGGGCGGGCGGGAACGGTGCCGCGATGGGACACTGCGGGCGGCTGGGCTTAGGCGCGCGCGTCGGGAGGGGCTGAAGTCCAGGCGGAGGCGGGCGCGAGGCTGCGGGACGGGTGGACGTTCCCGCCCAGCGCCTTGGCCACGCTGGCGAGGCCCTTCCTCCCTCGGGGAGCCCGGCTCTGCCGGTCTGTACGAGGATCTGGTCTAGAGGCTCGGGGGTGCGCGGGGTGGGGAGTCGGGGGCGGGCGGGGAAGGACCTGTCCCCGGGACCCCAGGGTGCCAAAGAAGGAGAAAGGGAACACGAGCTGGGAGGACGCATCAACAGGTGGCGAAGGTGCGGCTGGCGGGGGAACGGGTAGGATGAAGGGCAAAGGGGACGGGCGCGGGGAGGCGCTGCCCTCTCCGACCACCCGCCCCCCACCCCACAGCCGGCTGCCAAAGAGCCGTGCCACCTCCCCCTGTGCGTCGCGGGTGAGGGGCTGACTGTGCCCAGCCAAGGCGCTGGGCCTCTGCCAGCGCAAGGGGAGGTCGCGGCCCCGACAGCCAATAGCTAGGAGCAAGGCGGGGGGGAGGAGCTGCAAAACGGCTGTGTTTGCGCGGCGACGCCCAGCTCCCTGCGGGGAAAGCACAAAACCTCTGGTGCCAGGGCATCAGGATGCCCCTCCTTTGGGAACGAAATGTGTGCTATGCCAGCCCTCCTCCCTGCCCTCCCGCTGCTCCTGCCACTGATCTATTTGTAGCGGCAAGCGCCCAGGAGGACCTACTCGGGGCAGGCAACGCGGCTCCAGCAAATCCCTGCATCAGGCAGTCGCTGGAGAACAGGCCGGAGCGGTCCCTTTCGCAGATGCCTTTTAAACTCACGATGGTTGGTTAGCTCCATGCCTGGGTGAACTTTGCCCCACCATGCACACACCCACACAACCTTCCCACTTGTAGCCAGACAAGTCCAGATTTTATTGCACACTAGCAATAGCCAATATTTGTATTATGTTTCACTAGGAAGTGTTCCCCGTACGTTATATCCTGGCTATCTGTTGAGTGGGGAGGCGACAGTATTATTTATTTGTGCGGCTAGGGGCCATCGTGTGCTGGGTGTCATGGATATAGCAGTGAAGGAAGCTGACGAGCACCTCCCCTTGTGGAGCTTGTGTCCTCATGAGGACCTTCAGGCTCAAAGATGTCACCTGATGTACTCCGGATCCCAGGCTGTCAAGGACTAAGAGTCCAAACGTAGGTGTGTTGGCTTCTTTTCCCACTTGCACCGCAGTGGTCTGCCATAAATCCAGCTCAACCAGGCAAGCTGGAAAGACCCGGGAACGGTCGTTTTGAACGAGGACAAAGGAAGCTGTGCAGGGTTCAACAGAGTGGTGTGCACATCCAGCAGACACAGAGAAGTGATATTCTGGGGTTCTTGGGGTTCCCAAGGTTTTAGGGAGACAAAACTTGTTTTTCATGCATGTGTTGATAGTTGTCGCTGAGCAAATGCTCCAGCCAGGCCCCCACAGGTAGAAAGGGGAAGGAAGTGCAGGAATTTCTCATGGGAGGGTCCTGGCTGGAAATGGCTCCATACATGCTGCCCCCTGGGGAACTGTGGGTTCCTGTTTGCCGTGAAGACCTTGTCACTCACCCAGCATAGGAGAAACTTCCACAAAGGACACCCCCTGCGCCGCCCCCAGCTGCAGGAAATCTCTCCCTCCCTTCTTACCTCCTTCAGTGTTGATGGAGCGTAGGCAACACAGCAGAACAGAGACGGCCGTCTGTGCAGGGCCTGAGCAGAAGTCTGTAACTTCAGGGACAAATCAGCGCTCTCGCAAACACGTCTGAGCCCCACCTGGTTCCCCTTGGAGCCTTCGTCAATCCTGGAGCATTTGGGGGCACATGTATCTCAGTTTGTAGCTTCCATTTATCTGGTGCTGATGCTGTTCCAGGGCCCGTTTCATGTTTTCTAATCTTGAGGATGTTCGGAGAAATAATTATTATGGCGCCCACATTACAATGGGGAGGCAGAGGCACAGAGAGGCGCCCACTGCACCAGGTCACATAGATTGTGGGGCCCAGGATAGGAGGTGGGTCTCTGGAGCCCATGACTGCCCCGCTGAGCCACTCGGGGATACCCCAACCTGTCCAGTCCCACCAGCGCAGCCGAGACTCTCCCTCGGCCTCCCAGGGAGAATCAGGAAGTGGGGACATTCAGAGGAGGGGGTGGTGACCTGAAGTGATAGGGGTCTGCCCCCAATACTAGGCAGCAGGTTACACCCCAAACGTGTAAGCAGGTAGGGTCAGCTGTCTGTGTTCAGAGAGAATGTGAGACCCAACTGCTGGCCCCAGCCTGTGCCGGGGGAAGCTTCCCCCAGGGGTCTAGGGGTCCGGGCGGCGGAGTCTGTCTGTTTGCCCTACAACTCAGCCAAGCCCTCTTCCAGGGCCTGTCCAGGGCCTCTGCGGGTCACTTGCTTGCCCTTTGCTGATCCACAAAGCTTCCTGATGAGATGGAATCTGTGCTTCCTGAGTGTTGTCAGCCAGGGCAGTGGCCTCTGATCTCCTGGAAGCGTGCCTTCAGGTCAGGTGGTGGAAGTTGTCGGGGCGGGGGGAGGCAAATTGAGAAAGGGAGAGTTCACTGTCGGAAGGACAGAGCCGCTCCGTGGCCCGCAGCAGGACATCGGTGGGGACCAGCCATGGTCATGTGCATGGCTGCCGTCTTAGTGATGACAGCAAAACCTCATGGGTCCAGGTAATGTAGTCTTGTCACTTTAAGGCACAGAACTCGCAACAGTCCTGCAAGGCAACTAGGTTCGTCCTCGTTTTACAGATGAGGAAACTGAGAACCAGGGACGACGTCACTTCGCTGAGGTCTCCAAGAGAGAGCAAGAACCGGCTCTCAGAGTCCAAACCCACTCTACCATCCACACCTGCCCCGGGGTACCCCCAGGGGTTGGCTGTCTGGTTCAGAAACCTGTGCTCTCCTGGCCTGATACCCGGGCTGTCTCTGGCAGATCCAGGAGCACGGTTTTAAGGATCAGTCTCGGTCCCAGAGCTCCAGAGAGGCAGCTGTGACACAGTGGCAGTGGCAGGAGAGAGGGGCCATATTCAAGGGGAGAGAGAGTGGAAATGGTACAAGACGGACAGAGGTAGGTAGCACCTTGTGGCCAGGTGGGGAGTTTGGCTCGACTCCAACAGATTAGTACAAATAATAAATGATACATGTTAACTAATTGTTATTACTGAAGGAGAAGTGGTGGTGGCGGTAGGTAAAGCCATGTGCTCACTTGAGGTCTGCAGGTTCTGGAACCTTCTGCAGGCCCAGCAGCTGCTGCTGTCATAGACACTCCACCCCTTTGATAAATAACCTGTCCCCAGCCAAAGTTTACAGACTGGCTTTGCTACAGTGTCCACCTCAATGTGGCTTCTCCGTTCCAGAGAAGCCCGCAACAACGCAACAACGCACCCGCAGCAGCCCGGCCCCCGTCCCCTTCCCTCCAGAGAGTCAGATACTCTCCTCGTCAGCACTCGCTATTCCATCCCCCGGTGGCTTAATCTCCTTGGGACAGGGCCTGAGTCATCGACGTCCTTTGTCTAGGGTGAGTGTGGAGCTTCAGGACCCCCGTGACCTGGTGAAGAGAGTCTGGCCGTAAAGCATGATGGATAGACGAATTCGGTTGATCGGGGACGTTCCGCTCTGCTGGAGATGGAGATCTGACCCAGGAGGGGTCCCACCCGGGACCTGCACTGTTGTGGGTGGGCGAGGTCTGGGGGACTGAGACGGGACCCTGTGTGTTGATGCCCAAATGCACAATAAAGGCAGGTGGATATGCACGTCACTGCCTCTGCCTGGGGCATCCCCGTTTCCCTCCTGAGGTCAACAGATAGAACCTGGGGTTTGGAGTCGCACAGACCTGGATTCCAAACCATGCTCTACCTTCTACTCATAACACAGCCTTGGCCACACGACTTGCCCATCTCTAAAAGGGGCAGCAATGCTTGCCTCCATAGACTCTGGGGTGAGAATTAGGAGGCTGCCTGAGGGAAGCGCAGGGTCAGGACCTGAAAGATGGGTCAGATTTGAGACTTGGTGATCACCTACCAGAGGCCTCTACCAAGGATCACCTCCTCCAGGAAGCCTGCTTGGCATCCATCCCACCAGCAAAGCTGCCCTCTTCCCTGGGTCGCAGCTGCCTCCCATGTGGCTTTTGTCTAGTTCAGCGCTGCCTTTCTGGTGCCTAGTCCTGTCTTGCCACTCGAAATGGCGGACGTTGATTGAGCCCTCGAACCTCCCTGACACCCGGCCAGGTGCCTGTGTGTTGCTCCCTCACGTGATCCTCAGATCTAGCCTGGTATCTGCCTTTCATAGAAGAGTCCTGTCAGCCGTGGAGGCAGCGTGAACTTGAGCCCGAGCAGCCTGCCAGCCCCCAGCCCCCGGCTGCGGCTCCAGGAGAGAGCTCTGTGCCAGCTGGGCCAGCCTCACCCAGTTCTTCAGTCCGGGAGCCTAGCACCGGGCCTGGCACACAGGAGCCTCCGTGAGTGTGCGAGGCTGTTCTGTTGGCACCTGCTGCCTTGGTCATCACTGACTAGAGGAGGTGGCCCATGGTGCCCAGCCCCCTGAAGGGACAGACCATGTCTGACAGAATGTTCCCAGTCTGCAGCAAAATGGAGAAGAAAAGCCAGGACATTGCAGAGAGATTGTAAAGCTTCATCTAGTTGATGTCAAGAAATACCCCTTTTCTCCCTGAGAGCGTCCTTTACATTCTTGCATTGTTATTCAAAATGCTTTTTCTGAATAAAAATGTCTTAGATGAAGTGCTGATAACAGGGACTGGTATGTTTTGACTCGACAGACCCCGAAGCTGTGTAAAGTGCTGTTGGTTCATAAATCCCCAAGTCGAGGGCCCGTAGGCCCAGGTGGGCTCTGTTTACTGATAAACACGCAGCCGGTTGTGAAGGCCTGCTGACATTTTTCCAGGCTTCTGCTGCCCAGCTCTCTCCTCCAGGTTTACTTACGATATTTGTGTTCAAGTCAACACCCGGGCTCGGGCTAGTGTCGAGACTTGCACATGGAACGTAAAATCGCTCGTGAGGGCCTGATTTCCATCTTAGGCAGAGCGAGGCGGCAGAGTGTGGGCCGCTGCCTGGGGAGCCTGCGTCAGTCACACACCCACGCAGGGCCTTGGCTCACATGCCATTGGGCACCCTTGGGGCGGGGGTCCGGCCTGGGGACGAGCCTACCCTCTGCCTGGGAGCCTGAGGTCTGCGGGGGAGGGAGTTGGCTGGAGGCAGGAAGAAAGGTGAATTCTGTGTGCTGTGCGAGGGCAGTCCCCAGGGGAACGCTCCCTAGAAGGTGACGGTGGCCCCAGGTGGAGGACTCGGGGCCAGCACCCTGGCGGGAGGGGTTCCTGGATGGTTGGTGGGACAGGCCAACGACTGGGAGACTGTAGCCTGTCATTTCATCTCTCCAGGAGGATGCGTTAGATTAAGTCTGCGAATGTTAGCACTGAGTGTAATTTTAAAACAAAACCCCGAGGGGCTGGCCCCGTGGCCGAGTGGTTAAGTTCTCGCGCTCCGCTGCAGGCGGCCCAGTGTTTCGTTGGTTCGAATCCTAGGCGCGGACACGGCACTGCTCATCAAACCACGCTGAAGCAGCGTCCCACATGCCGCAACTAGAAGGACCCACAACGGAGAATATACAACTATGTACTGGGGGGCTTTGGGGAGAAAAAGGAAAAAATAAAATCTTTAAAAAAAAAGCCCAAAATCCCGCCCCCATCAAAAACAAAGCTCTAGTAGTCGCTAAGTAGGTGCCAGGTACTGTGCTGGCCCTTGAGTGTGACTCCCATGTCCCCACCCAGCGCCCCCAGTGCTGACTCTCTCTAGGAGGGCGCCATGGGCACTGGGCTCCTGCAGGGCTGCCGGAAAGTTCCGGGTGCCCCCCCACTCCCAACTCCCAGGCGTCTGGCCACTGGAGCCTCCAGCCTACCAGGAGGGAGACTGCTCAGACCTCGACTTCTGTCCTCGCACTCCGTCCCCCCAGGTCAAGGTCCCAACCTTGCCAGCTTGACAAAGGTCTTGGGACAGAAGGGCTGAGCTCCATCTCCTGCTTCCTGCTGCCCCCAACTCAGCCTTGGGGTTCTCCACTATCTTGGCCCTTCTTACAGGCTTTTGACATAATTTTTTTTTTTAATGATTTTTTTATCCAAAATGTTTACTTGTTTGCAGGGAGAGAGGCAGTTGGAATAACCTGGCCTGCCATTACCGGACGCAGAGGTTGAACCTTGCTTTCAGGGGTCGATGGTGTCTGTTTATCTTCTGGTTCAGACACAAAGCTGTTCAGGACTCAGCCTGCTCTGCTCCAGGTGTCCTCACCTCACCTGGCACAGGGCAGGTGGTCACTAATCAGGGATTTTTGAGCACGTCCCCTAAGGGCAGTGTTGACCCAGAGGAAAGCGGTCATGGTCCCTCTTCCTAGGCAGAGGGTCAGGTGCCCCGAGCTCCCTCCTGGCTTGGCTTTGTGTAGAGGTCGTTGGTGATGTGCCGCCTGTGTACAGGGCCCTTTGTACTCAGCAACGCTCGGCCTCAAGTGGCCCTGCAGGCAGCCGCTCCTGTCCCTGCTCCCAGCCATGGAAACTGAGGCTGAGAGCTGAGCCAAGTACCTGAGAGCTGCAAGCCTGGGCCGGGTGCTCGACAACCTGGCTCACGTGTGCTCAATTTTTCCACTGTGCCTACTGCTCCCCTCCCGGGCACTGTGACTTTGGACAGCTGCGACCCCCCTGCTTCTGTTCCCAACTGTAAACTGAGAGGCTGGGCTGGATAATCTCAAACGTCCCCTGCCAGCTCGGGATTCCGAGTTGTGCTCGGAGATGTGACTGTGACATGCTCCAGGAGCCAGCTGCCAGTGCCCATGAGGGAGTCATTTTTTCCTGCCTTACTTGGGCGGAAGCAGGCACATGACTGTCCTGCTGAGCCCTTGCAGTGAATTAGATCCGTGTATTGTGCTCTGTGCTTTGGAAATGCGTTCAGGAGCGGCCTCCAGGCCTGGGATGGGCCTCCACGCGTGTTCCCCGGGGGGAAATCAGCCCCCTTTTTGGCTGGAAGCTCCCAGGTCAAGGCAGGTCAAATGAAAGTCACCCACCTCTGCCTTCTGCAAACACAGAGCAGATAAAGGCTTCATATCCCCTCCAACCCCATCCTGGGGAGGGGACACTCTCGGTGCCCTCCCACCATCCGACTTGCTCTTCCAGTCCCAACCACTGCTTTGGCCCAAAAATACGCTGTAGCTTCTTGTTGGAAACCAGCAGAGGTGACGGATCCTGCTGATAAGAGGAAGAAGTTGCCAGGTGGTGCATGCCTCGGTGAATGCACGGCACAGCAGCGACCCGGGGCTAGGCCGCTCCACGAGGCCTCCGCTCACGCACTGGGACGATAGGGAAACAGAAGGCCAGTTCCCAGCTGGGCCGGGGCTTCCTCGCCCAGTTGCTTCTGCCCTCTTGGAAGAGAGCCCAAGAAGTCGGCTGGGAGGGGTCTCTTGGCAGGACCCGAGGTCCAGCTGGATCTTTCTGGACTGGGGGATTCTTTAAGAGCTCGACCCCATGGAATTCTCTCTGGGCCCCTGGGGCCGGGCACAGGCCCTGAAAGGAAGACTCAGGCAGCCATGTGGGTGACACTAGGGCTGTCGTAGGTGTCACTAGGGTGACATTAGGGCTCACCACTGACAGAGCCCCTTTCCCCATCGCCAGTTATGTTCAGGGCAGCAAAGCTGAGCTGAGTCCGAGCCCTAATGCCGGCTCTGCTGGTGAACTTGGCTGATGGCCTCACCACTCAGCTCCTCATTTCCTTGTGGGCAGAATTAAGGCCGCCCTTGGGGGGGTCTCTGTCAGGGTCAGAGGTCATGAAGGTCGAGGTGGCCCAGTCAACTGGCTACAGGCCCTGATTCTCCTCCACCCGGCCCGCCATGTGCTTTCCACTGGGCGCTTGTTTCTTACTTCCCACCGGCTGCCAGGCCCTGTCCCCCCTGCACAGCCCACCCTCTCGCCACATCCCTGCACTGCTGGCAGCCTGACAGGCGTGGCAGAGCCCCTGGGCCCAACACTTGGGGTCACCCATGGTTATGTTCCCACCTCTCTCCAGCCTCTCCACTTGCAATCCACCACATCACACTTGCTTTTGCTTCTACAGGATGTCTCCTCCTCTCACTTCTCTTTTTCCTTTAAGGATTGCTTCAGGTGCCGCCTCCTCCAGGAAGGCCTCCCTGATCCCCCCCTCTCCAGGCTGTGTTCCTCTTCTGAGCTCCTCAGGACCAGTGCCTCTGCTGGTCTCCCTGTTTCACTCTTGTCTGTTCACTAGTTCATCTCCTCACTGGACTGGAAGCTTCTTGGGGATTAGGATCTTATCTGAGATTATTAATAACAATAATAACAACAGAAATGATGGAATAAAAAAATCACCATTTTATTCATATTCTACATCCCACATGTTCAGATTTAACAATGCCCAGCTATTCTGTGCAGAAAACTCTCTCTGGTGCTTGCTTTTACTCATACTACAATCTTATTTTATAGTGAAATATATCACCTATGCCCTCTGAAATTTTGTTTTTATTATGATACATATGATATTCACTATATTTAAATAAACTTTTTACTTATTTATTTTTTAACATAGTAATTTTTTATTGTGGTAAAATATATATAACATAAAATTTACTTCTTTTTTTTTTAAGATTGGCTCCTGAGCTAACATCTGTTGCCAATCTTCTTTTTTTCCTTCTTCTTCTTCTCCCCAAAGCCCCCTGGTACATAGTTGTATATTTTTTAGTCGTGGGTCCTTCTCGTTGTGGCACGTGGGATGGCACCTCAGCGTGGCTTGATGAGCAGTGCCATGTCTGCGCCCAGGATCCGAACTGGGCTGCCGAAGCGGAGCACACAAACTTAACCACTTGGCCACGGGGCCGGCCCCTGAAATTTACTATTTTTAAGTAGACACTTCAGTGGCTTTAAGCACATTCACACCGTTGTGTAACTATTGCCAGTATCTGTCTCCTGGACTTTTTCACCTTTCCAGACTGAAACTCTGTCCTGTTAAACAGTAACTCCCCATTTCCCATTCAGGATTTTAAGTAGCTGTGAGAGGTTTTGGGAACATTTGGTGAAATCAGAATGAGGGCTGTAACAGATAGTATGGCAGTGATGTTAACTCTCGATGTTAGTCGTCGTACGCTGGTCGTATAAAACAGCCATTCTCAAACATTTTGGTTTCATGACTCCTTTATACTCTTTTTTTAATTTATTTTTTAACTGAAGTTAACATTGGTTTATAACGTTATATTCCTTTATACTCTTAAAAGCTGTTAAGAACCCCAAAATGTTTATTTGGCCTATACTTGTCGATATTTCCAATACTAGAAATTAAAACTGAAAAAACCTTTAAATATTTATTAATCCATATAAAAATAATAATAAGCCATTCACATAACACATACAACACTTTTATGAAAATGATTATATTTTTCAAAGCCAAAAAATTGTTTTTAAACATGTTTGCAAATCTCTCTAACGTCTGGTTTGGCACAGGGGAGCTGGATTCTCGCGTCTACTGCAGCAGGTCATTTTTGTCGACGTCTATGAAGAAAAGCCAGCCTCACATGAATAGCAGGTGGACGAGGCAGGGCGTGTTAATAGCGGTTTCAGGCAACTGTGGGTCCTCTGGCCCAGTGGCTCCAGGGGATCCATTTATCCAGTGGATGTTTCTTTTCTGTTCTAACATCGCAGCTTTATCTCGGTGTAATTCATGTGCCGTAGAACTCAGGC